GACTAAAATTTTAGATCAATGATTATTTTCAGTGTCTAACACTGGCAGCAGTGAGTATAGTTCATCATTTCAGAGCATACAGATCAGGCAATGAATAATTGGAAGACTTGCGTGTTACTGAAAAATAATCCACTTGCAGTTTTATCTTTTGCGTGGAATATAGAAAATACCAGGCTAACACATCAATTTCAAAAGCTTGTTTATAAATGAGCAAATACACCAGATTTATATCCATATTAGTTTATTTCTGCAGCATTTTTTTTTCTTATGGCAACAGTAAGCTAAAGCTTATTTGAAAATACTAATATTTAATATAGTTGTTTTAATTTGATTAATTAATCTGCAATTCATGTACTTGCTCTGTATATTCCCATGCAGCTGGGAAATTATATCATTTTCTTTTTTCACATTTTTACTGTTAAAATAAAAAAAGATATAGCAGATTAAAGTAACTATTTGTCGGCAATACTAAAATTTGTTTTTTAGATTATAGCTAGGGATGAGCAAGGGTTTGGTCCAAAGCAAGGTGTCATTGCCATCAAATCGGCACTCAATCAGCTGTGGCACCCTGCAGCCACATTTAACAAATGAGCAGGGATGCTTGTGACATCATTGACCTAATATGGCTACATAGCCATAGTTGGACAATGCTGATATGTAGATGTGAGAACACTATTAGGAGTGAAGTATTGATAATATTTGATATATCATAGAATTTAGTCCTCCTTTCACAGGGGCTGATGTGAAGATGGACCTTGTTCTGTTCTCAGGCTGCTGACTCTCTGATAGTGTCTCAGAGAACACCCAGTCGATGGCAAATCTTCTGGGTTGGGTACTAAGGAGCACCCAGTACAAATCTTCATGACACAAAAAGGTCAAATTGAAGTGTTTATTGAACAAAGGTATCAAATAAAATCAACATGTTTTCAGGGAAATGCCTCTTTCTCAGGTCTGAAATTGTGGGTATGAAAGGGCTCACAAAGAGATATAATTAGGAAATTTATGTAAGGACTTGATCCAAAATGGCAAACCTGGAGTTATAGCAAGCTGTTGTTGGCTTCATTTGATACCTTTGTTTGGTAAACACTTCAGTTTGACCTTTTTTGTTATGAACTTTTGCATTGTGCTCCTCAATACCCACCACAGATAGTTGAACGATGTAATTAATCTTACAGTTGATAGTTGAACTTTTATTTAGATTAATCTAATATGGCTATGTGTGTGCTCATCCCTAATTATGGTTATACAAAAGACATCTGAAAAATATTTATGGCTTTGCCATGCTTCTCTTTTAAAGCCCCGTGTAGAACAATGTTTTTTTTTGTTACACAATTTGAGTAATCTTTGACCTTAAGTGCACAATTACCCAGACTATGGACAGTTTCACATGATCTCATGTTCTTAAAGCGATTCTAAAAATTCATTTTTTTTTGGGGGGGGGGGGGATAACATACATGTCTATGCTTACCTACTGTGTGCAGGGCTTTTGTACAGAGCAGCCTGGAATCTTCTCTTCTGAGGGTCCCCTCCTAGCCCCTCTTTCCTGTTGGGTTCCCCCACAGCAAGCAGCTTGCTATAGGGGCACTTGCTGTGTCTTGGCCCTACCCACTCTCTCTCCTCATTGGCTGACTGGCTGTGATTGACAGCAGTGGTAGCCATGAGGAGGCAGAGACCCGGGACAGCCAAGGCTGTCATTTACATCACTGGATCACGATGAGCCTTAGGTAAGTTTTTTAGAATGCATGAAGGTAAAAAACCCTTTAGCCTTTACAACCACTTTAACATGTACTAAAAGAACTTTGAGTCATACATTACCTCTGTAGATGCATGCACTGTGAAATAATTCATCCTCAAAGATGCTTAAAGATCCCAACTGGGGCTCTAAAGTTGAATTTCATTCAGTTTACAGATTACAGCAAATGATTTTGTTTACACTATATGGCTTGAAAGTAGTGATGAATGAATGTGTCTGGGTTCAATTTGCAGGACAATTGTTGAACTCAAATAATGGGTATGGAAAGATGGACACTGCCCTAGGGATATGTCAAATGTACTAGGCATTTAGGTACCACATGCATGAGGAAAGACAACTATGCACTAAAGAGCTGGGTGGGAGCAGCACCTCAGTGAAAAAAAGGTGCCTGGGGGACAAAAACCACACTGGGCCATAGACTCTGGAGGCTCTTCAGGGAAAGACAGGCTAGGAGGTGAATGACCCCATGCCAGCTTGTGCCAGGCTCCTTTGTGTGTGGTGAAAGAACAAACCTTATGTTTGGCCTTTGGCTCTGAAAGTTTATATGCCTGATATGTGATTCATACACATGTTAGAACTCTTAGAGGTTTATGAGAACCAGAAGATGGAAAACTGATGTCAACAGAGGTGCCCGAATGTGAAGGAGAAGCTGAGAAATAGACTCTTCATTGATTCAATATTTATTGCTCACAGAATAATATAAAACACCGTCAACACATTTCATGGCAATACAATACCAGTTCTTTAGGATGATGCATAAAACACTGATAAACAAAAAAATATGCAGTCATGGCCAAAACATTTGCACCCTGCATTTCTGTCAGATAATGCACCACTTCGACCAGAAAATTGTTGCTATTACTATTACAAATGTTTAAGCATTCTCATATTTATTTCATTTGTTTGTATTGGTATGACAAAAAATTAGAGAAACAAAAAGCGAAATCTGACACATTCCATGCAAAACCCAAAAAATGGACTGGACAAAATTACTGGCACCTTCTCAAAATTGTAAGACATAATTGTATTCCAAGTTTGTGATGCTCTTGTAATCTGTAATTAAACTCACCTGTATCAATTAACAGGTGATGACAATATAGAAATCACACCAGCAACCAGTTAAACTGGTGAGAAATTGACTCAACCTTTCTGTTGTGTGTCTCACAAAATTGAGAACAAAAATTGTGGAAAAGCATTGACAATCTCAAGGTTACAATTCCATCTCCAGAGATCTTAATGTTCCTGTGTCCACTGTGCGCAACATTGTCAAGAAGTTTACAGCCCATGGCACTGTAGCTAATCTACCTGGATGTGGACAAAAAAGAAAAATTGATCAAAGATTGCAATGAAGGATTGTTCGAATGGTAGTTCAAGGACCTCGATCAACCTCCAGACAAATTCAAGCTGACAAGATACAACTGTGTCAGCTCAGTCTATACGTCACCAACTGAATTAAAAGGGACGCTATGGTAGGAGTCACAGGAGGTCCCCACTGATGACTTAGAAACATCAAAAGGCCAGATTGGCGTTTGTCAAAAAGTACTTGAGAAAGACAAAATCCTTTTGGGAGAATGTGCTGTGGATATACGAAACAAAATTACAGCTTTTTGGTAAAGCCAATCATTCTACTGGTTTCATAAAAAGCAATGAGGCCTTCAAAGGAAAGAATAAAGTCCCTACAGTCAAACATGGTGGAGATTCCCTGATCTTTTGGGGTTGCTTTGCTGCTTCAGGCACTGGATGTTTTGACCATGCACATGGCATTATGAAATCTGAAGACCACCAAAGAATTCTGGGATGTAATACAGAGCTCAGTGTCAGAAAGTTGGGTATCCATCAGCGGTCATGGGTCTTAGAGCAGGACAATGACCCAAAGCACATGACAAAAAGCACCCAGAAACTGTTTCAGACAAAGTGCTGGAGAGTACTAAACTTGCCAGCAATGAGTCCAGATCTCAATCCCATAGAGTACCTGTGGAGAGATCTCAAAACAGAAGTTGGAGAAAAAGAACCCTTCCAATCTGAGAGACCTGGAGCAGTTGATGAAAGAAAAGTGGTCCAAAATTCAAGTAGAGAGGTACAGTATAAGAGAAACTCATAGATGGATACAGGAAGCGATTGATTTCAGTTATTTTTTTCAAGGGATGTGCTACCAAATAGTAAATTGAAGGTGCCAATAATTTTGTCCAGCACATTTTTGGGGTTTTGCATGGAATATTTCAGATTTGGAAAATAAATATGTATAAAGCATGAATCCGTATAAAGCAAAACATATACTTCATTATAAAACATAATCATTATATCACACAACGCCTGAGTAATCACATTTTTAGAATTCATGTGGAAATTCAGAGAGTTACTTACCGTATTTTTCGCTCCATAAGACTCACTTTTTTTCCCAATAAATATGGGGGAAAATGTCTGTGCGTCTTATGGAGCGAATACTGACCAGTCCTCCACCTGTCACCGCCGCCGTGTTCGGGCCAGCGGCTGTCCCATCCCACAGCAGCCTGTCCCCTCCCACTGCAGGCTGTTACCGAAGTTCACCCTACCTTATCCCCTCTCTCAGCGGGCTGTCCCCGCGGCTCTTCATAGCAGGCAGTCCCCTCGCCGAACCCAACCAGCTTGCTCTGCAGTCTGATCCGCCCTGCAGGCGGATCAGACCTAGGAGCTCCTCCCCGCCCCTGGCATTTCTATGTACTGCGCTCCCTGCTCTGCAGTCTGAGTGTGGCCTGTCCGTACAACTCCTCCTCGCTCCTGGCATGTGTCCATAGTGCGTTCCCTGCTCTGCAGTCCGGTCCTGTCTGCTGGTGTGGCCTGTCCTTGGAGCTCAGTGCACCCCCTGCCTTCTATAGCCTGCCTTCTGTAAGTTAGAAATGACAGATGCTGGGAGTTGTAGTCCTTTTCCTTGATGTATGGTGTCAGATCATTTGATATTCTGGGTGGAGGGGCCCTGTTGGGGCTTTATATGATGTACTGTGTCCGCAGTCTCTGGTCATCCCCTGTACTGTGTCCGCAGTCTCTGGTCATCCCCTGTACTGTGTCCGCAGTCTCTGGTCATCTCCTGTACTGTGTCCGCAGTCTCTGATCATCTCCTGTACTGTGTCAACAGTATCTGGTCATCTCCTGTAGTATGTCCGCAGTTTCTGGTCATCTCCTGTACTATGTCCGCAGTCTCTGGTCATCTCCTGTACTGTGTCCGCAGTCTCTGGTCATCTCCTGTAGTATGTCCGCAGTCTCTGGTCATTTCCTGTACTGTGTCCGCAGTCTCTGGTCATCTCCTGTACTGTCCGCAGTCTCTGGTCATCTCCTGTAGTATGTCTGCAGTCTCTGGTCATCTCCTGTAGTATGTCTGCAGTCTCTGGTCATCTCCTGTACTGTCCGCAGTCTCTGGTCATCTCCTGTACTATGTCCGCACTCTCTGGTCATCTCCTGTACTATGTCCGCAGTCTCTGGTCATCTCCTGTACTACTGTACTATGTCTGCAGTCTCTGGTCATCTCCTGTAGTATGTCTGCAGTCTCTGGTAATCTCCTGTACTGTCTGCAGTCTCTGGTCATCTTCTGTACTATGTCTGCAGTCTCTGGACATCTTCTGTACTATGTCCGCAGTCTCTGGTCATCTCCTGTACTATGTCCACAGTTTCTGGTCATCTCCTGTACTACTGTACTATGTCTGCAGTCTCTGGTCATTTCCTGTACTATGTCTGCAGTTCATTGGTTCAGAATATTTTTTTTCTAGTTTTCCGCCTCTAAAACCTAGGTGCATCATGGTCAGGTGCGTCGTATGGAGTGAAAAATACGGTATATAGTTTATATTACTTATTATTATATTATCTTTTACATATTGAACACTTGAATTTGATAACCATTGTAAGAGATAACATATACAGTATATAAAACACACACATACATTTTATATATAGCTTTTTACATACATATATTTTTTTTTGTTTATCAGTGTTTTACGCACCATCCTGAGGAAGTGGCCAGTGTAGTTCCACGAAACGCTTTGATGGTGTTTTATACTATTCTGTGAGCAATAAATATTAAATCAATGAAGAATCCATTTCTCAGCTTCTCCTTCACATTCGGGCGCCACTGCTGACACCAGTTTCCTATCTTTTGGGGCTCAAAAACCTGTTATTGAGAACACACCGGAATCCTGAGACTACAAAGCTTAGGATCGTCCAGCTCTCCCCACCAAGCTTCGAGAACGTTCTTACTCTGTGCAGGGACAGTCATATTCCCAGCAGGCTTTCACTCCAAGTTGTCTGATTCCTCATTGGGGTGGGATTAGTGTCACAATACCTTTGGTGTTCCTGCAGGAGCACACACTTCGGGGTATAATAGCAGGAGGAAGAGGATAACTTCATACTTTCTCAAGGCCGGCAAGGTCCTCCACTCTATGCATAATAAAAAAAAAGTTGTGTCTTTTGTTATACTTTAAAAACAAAATGTGAAATTCAAAATATAAATAAAAATATTTAGCATACTTAGTATATTACATATTACAGTGTTTTATTTCAGAGACAACAAACAGAAATATTGGACAGACTTGCTCCACAATTTATAATACACTTTTACAAGGCTGCAGATTTTTAATTGACAAATTAAAATGACAGTGCATTATCTTAGTGAAAATAAAAATCAGACATTCACAAATTGAATGTACAATGTAAGCAATTTTAGCACCCAGCAGTTTAAAAAAATAGACAACAGACAGGTTTTAATTAAGAGATCAAAAACAAAGGGTGTTACTTCACTGAAAAAAAAACACAGAAAAATTGTTCAGAACAAGCTTATTATGTGAGTTGCTTTAGTAGTGTAACCAGGAGATAACAAGCATGTTTATAATCAAGAAATCCAATTTACAGCTTTATTTCACACGCACACACACACGAGAGTGCGGCGGAAATGTTGTACTGACTCAACGAAGAGTATGTACGCACTTTAACTACATTGCAGTTTCAGTGATGGTCAGCAAAGAAGGTTTCAAAGAAAAAAGCCACAAACATTTTTCAGATTTCGTGAACACTATGTAAGCCGTAGGCAACAGTTTATGAGGGACAGACCTAGCAGATGTCCAGGGTCTGGTATGTATTTTGAAGGAACTTTAGGAGGAGTTACCCATGCTTTTTTTTTACAAAAAAAGACACTGGCAGGGAAATTAAATACAACAGCAAATGTTTTTTTTTCTTCCTAAAATGTCAGATTTGCTCTAGTACATTCTACATCAAAATGTACAAAAAAAAGTTTTGGGGCTCTCACAAACAAATGGCATGGGACCCACCCCAAAATTAATACTAGATCCAAAGTGGAATTTTGAGGGTGTACCCCACACAAAAAAAAACAAAAACATTATATGGGCCCTCAAAGTCTATAACAAACTATCATTGAAGCATGCAGTTTGGTTGGCCAAGAAATGACGCGGTGAACATGTGACCCCCAGACCTGAACCACACCAGGCTACATGCCCTCAATACCAGGAGGATACCTTGCCAGGGGAAAAAAACCTTGGCAAAGCATCTTGTCCCCATGTTGACAAAGACAGGGGACTCTTTGACAAGTCCTTTAAAAAAAAAAAGTCCCATGATGTAAATCTATCACCACTCATGCCGTCCACTGTTGCAGATCCTTCTCAATCACAATTAACTATGCCTGCAGACCTGCCGAAAGGAAAAACATACTGGCTCACTGACATGTCTGCTTCTGTTGCTACCCCTTGTTGAATTACAGATTCCTGGACCACAGCTCACTTGTAATTAAAAGGGTGTGGATGGTGGCTGATGTCATTAATCAAATATGGCTAAAACCATGACCGGGATGCACCACTGGTCGCTAGAAAGCCAGAGGCCACTAATTTGGGAACAAACAGCATGAGCAGGAAGATGTCACATTTAGCAGTGGTAGCAATACCCCTGCCAAATGTATCACTTGGCGGATCAGCAAACAGACCACTTAGTGCACCTATTCACTGAATGCCGAACGGGCAAAGTTCAAACCAAATTCTTCTTTAGTCTGAACCTTAATCCTGGGAGAGACATAAATCAGATTTTAATCTAACACGAACAGTAGATTTTTTTTTCACAAGGAAAATGCCAACAAAATATTTATTGTGACTCAGTATTTAAGCACCTTAACAAGGTTGCATTTTGAACAGGACAAACACCAAAAAACTTTTAACCCGAACATTAACATTAGAGTGTATTATTTCACGGGAAGCTCCAAAATTGTTGTAATGGCTATTTGTACACTAGGTCCTATTTTTGTACAGAACTTCCACCAGCTACAGTATATTCTAATAAAAAAAGTTAAATAAGTTCATAGAAAAAAAGGATCCATAGTATTGTTGTGCCTATGTAACCAACACATAATCTTTTGTATTAGGCCCTATTTTGAAAAGAACCTGCACATTAGAGTGACATATATTTACAGGAACAAAAGCCCCAAAAATATTGCAGTGCCACATGTGCAGTATTAAATGACTTGTACTAAGCTCCATTTTAAACAAGATCTCCAACATTCAGTTTTAAATCTAGAAATCAACAGTATTTTTTTACATAAAATAACCCTGAAATATTGACATTTAAATGAGAGCATACCGTGCTAGCTACCTCAAGTGGTCTAGACTGGACATCCAACAGTTTTGGGGATTCCCTCCTTATTTTGAAGGGTGGATCATATGGTTTAGGAGCATTATTCCTTTTGAAGATGTAGAATCTGCTCGGTCCCTAATAGCTGCATGTGCACAACCTCTGCCTCCTGCATAGTATGTACACAGTGTTGAATCACTCTTTCTAGGCCCCAATTTGAAAAGGACTCCCAGCATTTATTATAGATTTTAAAATGTAACGTTAGAATGTCATATATATGAAGAAAGAAAACCAAAAATTTGTCTTGCCTACATTTACAGTATTAAATCAATTGCACTAGGCCCCAGTTTGAACAAAACTAACTATCATTTTAAAATCTAGAAATCAACAATAGAGTGCCAGTTATTCCCAGAGGAAAATCCCCCAAAAGAATGTTGTGCCTGCGTCCGTAGTAATACACTAGCCTCCAATTAGAACAGGACCCCAAACAACCGTTCTAGCATCTAAAAATTAACTTTAGAATGCAATGTATTCAGAGAAGATCCCAAACATTGTAGTAAGTAAACTATCTTTAAACACTGTTCTTAGGCCACTTCGTCAACAGGATACAAACCAGCCAGCTTTTAATAAGAAAAACGAAACTGTACTGTCTATGGGATTGATTCAGTAAAACTGGAGAGTTCAAAATCTGGTGCAGCTCCGCATAGAAACCAATCAGCTTCCAGGCTTTTTTTTTTGTCAAAGCTTCATTGAATAAGCTGAAGTTAGAAGCTGATTGGCTACCATGCACAGCTGCACCAGATTTTGGACTCCCATTTTAGTAAATCAACCCCTATGTGTATTACATTTAATCATTTGAACTAGGCCCTATCTTGAGCAGAACCCTAACCATCCATTTTACAATTTTTATAACAACTTTACATTATTATTATTGGAACAAGTCCCAAAAACAATGTTGTGCCAACATGCCATGTATTTAATATTTTACACTGGGCCCTATTTTGAGCAAGACTACTACCATTCACTTCAAGACTACAAGTGTAAGCTATTCACAAAAAAGACCCCAAATCAATTGTTTTGTCTACATGAGCAGTCCCAGTATGTTAAAATACACTGTGTAGTTTTGAGAACATTTTGCTTAGTGCAATTGCCAGTTCTGTAGCCCATTTACAGCACCCCTGGATCCTGGCAGAAAAACTCCTATAATGTTTGCATTCTCTGTCCTGGCTAGTTGCTAGGGCCCAGCAATTATTATGCTCTCAACCCTAGCATCACAAATCCAAAAGCAGCACATGCACAGTGCACACCCCCTGTAGCAGTAGCATCTGACTTCAGTGTTTCTGTGACAGAGGGAGAGAGAGTGCATTGAACATGCGTGGCTTTTGAACTAGTGAAAGTGGTGATGCTGAGGGTGAATGCCTATAGTCTGCCATGTCCCAGAAACTAGGCAGGATGGGCAATGCAAACAAGATGGGATTAGTTCTGCCAGGCTTCAGGGATGCCACTAATCACTTATTGCCATGGAAATTGTAATTAAGCAATAATTTTCAAAGCTGTACAGAGTAATTTGTTTTTAAAAAATGTTATTGGTTTTCAAATAGAAATACAAAAGGTAGAGGATAGATACAACAAATACCCAAGTATTCTGGAAACAGCAATAGAGAAACAGATCATGCTGTAAACATGTCAGTGTTATAAAGAATCAATAAACCATAGAGACACAGAGTTTGCCATTTTCACAAATTGTGAAAAATTTGGGTTCAAATCAAATTGTTGTCTGTCCTGAACCTGAACCTAAAGCTTATCCCTAAACGTTAGTCTGACAAGTTTCTACTACCAGAAAATAAAGGCAGAAGAGCTGTGATTTCAGTGTTTCTGTTGTGAATTTTTATTATGAACTTCTCCACAATGTCTATAGCTACAGGGGTGGATTATGGTCTTTATATTTTACTGCCTGTTCAGAATATGTAACTAATTTAACATGAAATTAAAACAGAAGTAAAAAAAGAAGACTCTAACCAGGAAGG